GCCGGTGATAATAGGCGGCGTCTAAAGCCGCCACACAACAATTTAAGATTAAAATCAAAGCGAGTCTATAGTTTCTTTGTTCTAAATATTTCAATCGCTTGTGGTTCGAACAATTGAAAATGACCAAAAAGTTTATATAAGCTTCTTAAAATTGGCGTAATGGATCTCTTTCCATCTTTTGCGCATGCAATGTGTAGAAAAAGGACAGTTAGCTATTTGATTATTTTGTGCGCTTTTGTAATTTATATTTACGATTCATTTATAAATTTATATATGTATAAATTAAATACGATAAAACTGTACAAAATAACACTTTTAAATGAGAACTATGATAACACAATATATTTGTTTAGTGAAAATATGATACAAAATCCTGTTTTTACACTTTACTGCGGTAATTTTTACAAGTTATTATTATATGGTACTGCATGATTGACACTCGAACAAATGAAGACTGTTGCGTGATTGACGCTCTGTATGCGATTTTAACGCCCTATGGGTGCGGACACTTTTTAGCGCGAACCCTACGTCCATTTATTGGTAGGTCAATGCACATGACAATATTTTTTTATGTGAAAGATAGATAGAAAAAACAACGTTAACTATGGAGTGAGATTGGTGGTCTAATGATGATAAACTAGGCTAAACCACAGCTAAACCTTGAATTAGCACAAAATGAATTACGGACTTTCAAAATGGTCATCGTACGGATATAATTTTTTTTTCCCTCGAAAAAGTTTCAGAAAATTCTAATAATTTTTTAGGTATTCGAGAAAAATGTATGATCATTGATTACAGTTACAGTCTACGATCTGGCACTTAGTCGGTCCCGAAGCAAAATGCTCTAAGTTCTAAGGATAAATAGTACTATTTGAGAGTTTTAAGGACGAAAATTACTACTTTAATAAACACAAAACACGTGTCGAGCTTGCTTCGCAAACATCCTAGTTTTTGTCAGTTGATCATTCATTCCTTAACTTAAGTTCGTTCAATTCGCTCTGGAACTTTTGGAGGGAAAAGTGTCGTTTTTATTTTGACTTTCAATTATTTTGTGAAGTCTAGTTTAAAGTGGAATAGGATAGTGCTATTGTGCCTTAATCGAAGATTAAAACGCAAAATTATACGAATCTCGAACTAAAATACCCGTATCGGCCTGTTTTAAGAAATCCCTAGTCAATCCAAGCACGCCGCGCCGCAAATTGCCTATCCTCTTTGTGGCGGCCATATTTACAGAAACATAATTAAACTTCATGTTTAGGCTGATGGCTTTGCCAAAGCCTTAATAAATTAAAAAAAATAATTTAGTTCGTTCAATGTTCATTCATTATGAATCTATCTGTCATCTATAGGAAGAGCTGTCGTACGATTGTCATTTTCTTTTGCATCGTTTCATATCCTGCAATGTTTTTCAAAGTTAGGCAGTGCTTTGCTGATTGTATCAAAGTGAATTTGTGACGATAAGTAGTTTTATATTTATACTTGATAACGTTGTGTTTGCAACTGCGTATTATAGTGCTAAAGTGTAAAACTCAGCGCATGCCGGTTTTGAAGAGGTAATATCAGAAAATTTATGACGGTATTACAGGTTTCCTATTTTATTTTTAGTCGCACAGTATCGGATATTTGGTGCTAAGTTGTAGGTGTTTTGCAAGAATTATTTTGTGAATTGCCGGCTAGAATGGCGGCGATAAGGGAAAAAGTGACAATACATGTGAATAGCGATTAGCAATTTGTTATTGTAAACATATGTGTACATTCCCTTTATTATGCAGATGGCTTACCAAATACTTGCACCGGAGACATTTGTGTTTAAGTTAAACAACAATTGACTTTATTAAAAGTATATACAATCGTTATATCTTCATTTCAAGGCTATATCGTTCACCATCGTATGGTACATTCGTGAATTGGTTAATACTCTCTGTATGTCTCTAAATTTTGTCAAAAAGAGATAATATGCATTAAATTAAGGTGACACCTAGGCCATATGTTTGATAACAAACATTCATTTGTACTTTCTAAAGTGAAAGTGCTTTCAATGTATTTTTTTATTCTGTGCAATGTTAATTTAGACAAATTCAATTCTAGATACTGTTTTCAAGGCAAGCTTATGTCATTTTAATTGTATATAGTAGTAAAGATAACTTGTCTGTTTTTGAGAAGTAAATGCGTACCATTGTAATTTATAAAGTTGAAATCTTATAAATTTGGTTCTGAAATTATATGTAGAAAATGTTGTTCAATATTATAGGGTATTTATTAATCATAAGCGGTAAATTGATAAAAATTATCAATAAAACTCAATTTACTATTATCAAGTTAATTATTAGTCAATGTATTAATAATGTCATAAAATAATTATCACTGAATGAGTCATCCCTATCCTCATTCTTACATAAAACTGTTGAAGCTGTATCTAACTTTCTGAGTATCAAATTAAAAGGAAATCTGGTTGAAATTTGGAAAAAGAATCGCTGCTTTTTATTAGCCGAAAAATATATTTTGAATTTTTTAACACATTGAACGATATTTATTAAAACAATAAGTCTTTTTTAAAATTTTTATTGAATTGATATTCAATTATATTTTGTGAAATGACTCCACTAGTTTGTTATAATTGTTAATACAAAGATCGAACACGCACAAAATATTCCTTCGTTCCGGCCAGATTCGAACCGACGTCTTCTAGCTTACCGTGCCAGACGCTATACCAACTAAGCCACGGAATGAACCAGCGGACCTCACGAATTTTTCTACGTGCTTGCGTCCTGTCTTTGTATTTGTTTTTTTAACGACTTTTTAGTCGTAGCACCATCTATGAGAAATCTATGAAAGTGTAAAGGCACTATCTGGGTGATAAATCTTTAAAATACAGTAAATAGCGACTCTCTCGCCAGGACTGGTAACTGTAAAGTTTATAGATTTCTCATAGATGGCACTATGACTAAAAAGTCGTTGAAAAAACCAAATACAAAGACACGACGCAAGCACATAGAAAAATTCGTGAGGTCCGCCGGTTCGTTTCGTGGCTTTGTTGGTATAGCCTCTGCCACAGTAAGGTAGAATACGTCGGTTCTATTCCGGCCGGATTGAAGGAATTTTTTCTGAGTGTTCAATCTTTGTATTAATAAGTCACCATCTTTATATATAATTATTGCCTAGAAGCTTAATGCTTAATTTTTTGAAGTAATCTGGCTTATCCGAGGTTTGTACCAAAATTTCAGCTTAGCAAAGCGACTTTTCTAAGAAACTATGTTTTTAGGTGTTAATGCTAAAAATAAAACAAAACATGTAATTGAAAAAATAAACAATAAAGTATTAGAAAAAATAAACCACTATATTTTACAGTACATATTTGATGTTAGTTGTAAGTGTTGATTGCATACATTCATTCCATTACAAGTAATTTTTTTTAATATCAACAGCCTAATACTAGAAAATGGCATCAAAAAAGTCATCTATAAATGAGGATGACTCTTTCATAATCCTCGGCACGTCTCCTGGCACCAGTTTGGATCTTAAATGTAACGGAGTGGAGAATGGCCAGAGCCTGGATAAATCCCAACTAGATGATGCCTTGAAGGATTTACCGCCCGAGGCAAGTGTGGCGTTCAAGGCCCATTTCCAACTTGAGGACGGTGTGAGTATACTTATTTTTTATTTCTTCCTGATCAAAGTCACTTTTGAAGATATTAGACATACATATTGCTTCACCTGTCAAGATAAAGTCATTGGTTGATTTCCTTTTTTTTCTTTTTTTCTCAATAAAGGCTTCCCCTAAATTCCAACATTTATCTTTGTGTTTGTTTGACAAAAGACTTGTATCGAATTAGTATGGAGCTTGGTACTTTATTCTCAGAAAAATTTAACCAGTCTTTAACTTTTTTCCTAGATTTAAGTTCAAATAAAGACTTAGCAGAATAATAAAAAAATGTACTGATCTGCATTTTTATCTAGTTTATTTAAAACAAAAGTGTGGTGACATGTTTAAATAATTACTTACCAGCAACACTGAGATACTACAAAAAGTCCAAAAAACAGCAACACTTAAAATCTAAAATATTATTAGCTGGCAACAAGCCTTTTATTTTTTATGGCATTGGCCATTAGCTCATTAGTAAAATACAAAAATATCCGTTTTGTTATATTTTATGTTACATCATCATCTCAGCCTGTTAACATCCACTGCTGAATATAGGTGTCCTCTTTTGCACACCATTTCAAGCGGTCTTGTGCGGTTACAAAAAATATCTACTGATAGCCTGCTTAAATTTTCCGTTTATTATAGTACCACTAATGGAACAACTTTTTTGCGAATAAATAACATTTGTAAACATTTTAACACTGCATACTCAATATCTATTTGTATAGAAGGCATTATTTCCTTTTTGCAAAACACTAAAACTATTTGCCTATCTTTTTATGGCTATTGATAAATAAATATAGTTCAACTTTTTCTTTTTGTAATTTTGTTAATAATCCTGCATTGTACTGCATAATAAATCAATATAAATGCTTTAAACCATAACTATAGAATAATAAATAAGATTAAAAATGTGTTATGGTTGGAATTCAGACTATGGGTAATTATTTTGGTATTATGAATCCTTAATGATATTTATTCAAGTGTAATTATCACATTAAATATGTTTTATTACATTCTCAATAGACATAACTAGCAATATTTCTTTTCATTGCCAAGCATATTTAGTTAATACTCGCATAAAGATAACGACAATATGAGAATTTCTCTATTATTGACTTAAGTTTGATGTGGATATTTTGCATTCATCATTCTTGCACTATTAAAATGATAGATTTTAAAATAAATTCTTAACTATCTCTGTTTGTTGAACATTAAATAAACTAAACTGCCACCTTCTCTACTGATTTCGGACTACGTCTATCTTGTTCAAAATATGGTAAAAGTATCAATGAACGGTGGTAATTTCGATAATTTTGTCATAAATACTTGAATGTTAACAATTTCTGTTAAAATTGTTCTCATGGTTAAAAAAGTGTTAACAATTCATTAAAATCGTTCTCGTGGTTGAAAACGTGTTAGAGCTCACGTGACGATGATGATTGTGATGTGTCTTTGAAGAAAAATAAGAGAACTGTGCGGTTTCAGAGGAGATTCCTCTCACGTACAATGAGGTTGTGGAATGAAGTCCTGTCGTGGTTTTCCCGCAGTAATATAGCATGGAGTCCTTCTAAAGGGGCTTGAGAAGGGTCCTAAAGGGTTTGCAGCACGCTCGTGACGCCCCTGATGTTGCAGGCGTTTATAGTTGACAGCTTTCCATCAGGCGGGCCGTATGCTTGTTTACTTAATATAAAAGAAAGAGAAACTATTTTTGACCATACAGGCTTTATGATGTGAGATTTAATCTTGATTTTTAACTCCTATACCTCGCAGCAGCATCATCAGTCAGTCGATCAGTCGTCATCATCTTGACTGTGTAAGGAGACAAATGCTACTTCCACGTTGAAGAACACATAACGTGTAAACTAAAATCCGAGTGGACACCTATACGATTTAACTCGTATGAGCGTTCTCGGTGCGAGAAAACTCGTATAGGGAAAACCCAGCTTAAGTTTACCGCAGCTTTGTTTTTGTAGCTACGAATGTATTCATTGTAATTTCAACTATAATGTCATGGATTAAGGTATATTATTATTCGTCATAAAAATCTCTCGCCGTGCCGATTCGTTAGTGAGCACCGAGCCTTATTATTATGAGGATGGCGCACCACTGCGACCTGCAATAATTAATTGTCATCGCTAATACTTACAACTAGATCTCAGAGCCAAAACCAACGGAGTTAAGGAAATGTAGGATTGTCTTGCTTGTTTTCTTAAATAATAAGTAATTAGTAAGTCATTTAAAAAAAAATGAAAGGTAATTTACAAAAAATTACTTTTTCTTGCCCTGACGCTAAAGTATGCAATTGTGAACCACTGACTGACAAAATTTTTTATCATATCCGTATAATTTGTCAAGATCAAAAGATATCATAGATAAAATTTATATGAAAATGATATAAAAAGGCGTGCATGATAAAAATATTTCCCCACACTTCAATCGATAAATACAATGTTTATGTAGATGTACACTCATGGAATATATAAAGGAGTGCTTAAAAGAGGCTGAATAAGATAACATCATCACAAAACCACATACGTTGCTCTGATCCCAATGTAAGTAACTACAGCACTTGTGTTATGGAAATCAGAAACAATGACGGTACCACAAACAGACCTTGACTTTGACTTTGATCAAACTCGGAACGTTAAAGATGGCGACACCATGAAAACCGGTGTGGCTTGCACTCGACCATGGAGATGGAGGTCGTCATATTTAGTCATGAATTATGATAACAGTGTTCATTTGAACCTACTACTACATATACAACTCTTAAAAAATCTAGAAATATACATTTTTACTGTAGTTTTCTGTTTGTGACGTAAGCATATAGTCGGAAAGAGTTTTTTTTAAAGTCATTTGGTTTGCCTACAGCTATTACATTGTGATTTATTTCCTAGGTACAATAATTTGTGAAAAAATGTGTGTAAAAAAATTGGCAAAGGAACTTACGACATTTAACTTAACTACGAGTATGTAATATAATAGCAACAAATACTAATAACTACTTACGTATATACAACAAAATGCTATTTTATTTTATTTCAATATTTTTTAAAAACAAAGGCAAACAATCTGCATGTACGTCCAAATATTCACTATTTATATTATACAAGTTACAAAGTCTGTTCTCGTGAGTTCGTACGAATTTTGGTTCTTCGAAGAGGTGGGCAAAGTGGTTGTATAAAGTATCGCGGGGTACCTATGAGGCACTCTAAATCTTATTTGGCTTAGTAGAATCGGACTATCAATTTGTTTTTTTTTTAAATTGTTCCCTTGAAGGGGTGAAAAGACTGCAAAACCATGTAAATTCTATAAGAATGTGTTTAGTGTTCTTTTTTTGAAAATTAACCCTTTACGTGCTGAAACGGATGGCACAAGTTTATTTATCAGAAACTCGTATTATTTAGGCTTGTTACACATATTATTTATTCTTAGATATATTTTTCAAGCGTGTCCGAAAACTATTATTAAAACAGCCACATCGTTACTCTGATAGGTATTATAGATAATATATTTATGTCTTACATATCTTAAATTACACTGTTTAAACCCTATAACTTCTTATCGTGCCGAGTTTTATTTAAGGATTAAATTTAATTTGCATAGTATGTTGCTAACTTAATCGCGATGTCTTTGTCTACGTTAGGATCTCTCCCTGAGATGTGGACGTTTATTTTAAGTATAAGAGAGAGAAAAAGAGAAACAGAGAGAAAATTTTTGTAAAAAGTTGATAAAAAAGTGAAAAGAAGAAGTTATGACCCAAATTTACGAATTTTATTACGACGAAGAACATCCCACCTCATCACACAATATATACCCTAGTTCTAACACAACTTGGAGTGAATGCTCAAATTATTCACAAGGGATAAAGTAACACGATTTTGTTAAATTACCCGTAAAAGTAGGTGATACGGGATGTTAAAATTTATTTTCATAAATTGTATTCTTTATCCTCAACGAATATTTTTTACAAGTATTTTTCGGTTTTACGAAATTGCCCCTAATAGGCACGCCGGGGTTATTTATTTTATGGTTTTCGAAATGACGTCGGTTATTTACCTGACGATTTGCTCACGCGATGACGCGTGCGCACAATAGTCATCAATGAAAATGTACTCTTAAATCGTTGTAGCAGGAAATCATTGATAAAATGGAACTAGTAGGTAGGTAAGTGTATAGTATTTCTATTTATCGTTTAATCTTTTATGCATGATAATAGGTTACACGATAAACGATAAATAGAAGGGACTTTACTGTGCTTTGCACGGAATAAAAAGAAGGTGTTTGTATGTTCAATTGACTAGTTTTAATCTGGACACTCACACTTAATCTGGTTTGTAACATTTTTTCAGTCTACAGAATTTTTTTAAATTATGTTGTCAAAGGTATGTAAATACATTTTATCAAATGTTGCTATTTTTATGCATAGTGATTGAAGTTGAAAAGTCAAATCAAAGTTTGAAGCGCTATTCTGTGGTCAAAAGTTAACCAATCATTAGGTGCGATGTAATTTAAAATGTTTCATTTCTGTTCATGATTACAGACTTTCACGAATTTACACTTACTTGAGGTCATTGCGTAGATAAAAAAAAAATCAAAATTTTCTATTGTTTTGTTAATTTTTAATTTCATTCGTTCATTATTTTGATGGCTTTGTGTCCCGTACATAAAAACAAACATATCGCGTAATAACAACAGCAATTTTGATAAATTCGGATCGAGCTAGACCTGGGGGTCTACTCTCGATCACCGTCCGTCCGAAACAATTACTGCCAAATAAGCAATACTTGACCAAATGAAAAGACGCGTGATGCGAATGAAGCTTCGTACTTGATACTTGTCTTTTAATTTTGTCGAATATTACTTATTTGACAGTAATTGTTTCGGACGGATGTCGAGAGTAGACCCCTAGAGGCAGACTAACTACCTCCGTGGTCGAACAGTTACCATGCTAGTCTGGCCTAAATATAATTTGTATGGCCTACATTTATTTCTCTCGTGAGTTTGGGTTTCATTTGTTGGTTGTCTATGTGTGTCTCCATGGCACTCGCGATACAGGGTTTCCCTAGTGCAGGACTATAAATGTTTGCGTTATTATTATATTATTATTATTAGCAAGTTTAGTACCTACATTTATTATGAAACAATGCTTCATCTTCATCATCATGTAGTGCCTCTCCACTACTGGAGGCTGGCCGTCTGCTTCGAGAACTCTTCCCTATCCTGAGCCAAGCGAGACAGATGTTGCGCAGCCACGACTTTTTCCTTCTTCCAGTACGTCGTTTACCCTCGATCTTGCCCATAATTGTCAGTTGGAGAAGTCGGTACTTTTCATGCCGTAAAACGTTTCCAAGATACGCAACTTCCCTTTTCGTGACGGTCTGCTAGAGTTCCCGGTCCCTCCCAACACGCTGAACAACTGTCACGTTGGGAACTTTTTAGGTCCTAATGCGTAGCATTCTACGGCAGCACCAAAACTCGAAGGCCTCAAGACGTCTCTGGGCTTTTAGAGTCCTTATAGAGTGTTCTTCATAAAAGTTCTTTATTTTTCTTGTAGTACTGAGTATACCGTTGAAATAGTCTCAGTTAAAGGAGTCATCACACTTATTGACACGGAAACGCATTAAAACGGCCAGTAAAAGCTTTATGTCCTTGCAATAAAAGCGATAAGAACGTCGAGCTTTTCGCGCCGCGGCGGTGCAATAGTAAGTGAAACGCGCAACGTCTTTTTCGCTCTTGCTTTATGGACATTAAGTTTTATCTGACCGGATTTTTAAGTATGGCGTCTCTCTTATAAATATTAACTATTTTTTTATTTTCAAATCGTGTTTTCTCGATTCCACAACTTTGAGTTACGACAGTGTTTACTTCGCCACTTCCTATTATCGTACCTTACTACTTGGAAGTTACCGTATGACGTCTTTCTGAAATGTCACAGTTAGGGATTTTACCGTTCATATACTAAGAAATAGTGTTGTATTACTAAGATGTTTGTAAAGAATGATTACGTTGAACTGTCATTTCATTTCGTTGACTAATATATTTGTCCTTCTTTTCTTTTTGCAATTAGCATATATCTTTATAGCAATTGTTTTCTCTTTTTAGCCACTTGTTCCGCCTTTGTGTTCTCTTTTTCAGCTACCAGCTAGAGCTTCGAGTTCTAGTTCTGTTTTAGCTATTTGTTCTCTCTTTTTAGTTACTTAATCTTTCCTTCTAGCTCTTTTTAGCTATTTGTTCTCCCTTTTTAGGTACTTATTCTCTCTTTTTAGCTATTTTTCTATTTTTAGTTTATTCTCTATTTCTATCTCTTTCTTTAGTTTGTTTTCTCTTTTCAGCTTATTCTCTATTTTTAGCTATTTGTTCTCATCTTAGCTTCTTAGTTTCTCATTCTAGCACTTCTTAGCTATGCCTTTTCTTTTTACTTATTTGTTCTCTAACTCTCTTTTTTGCTATTTGTTCTCTTTTCTAGTTCGTTTTTGTTAACTGAATCAAAATTATTTCTTTCCATGAACTTATGTACTTGTACAATGGACGGATATATGGTTGTATATTTTTTTACCTTGCACCATCAATTTTATTTCCAGCCTTCCCCAGCCAGCGTGATGGTGGCCAGTACCATAATAACAGATGACAAAAGCACAGAGGAGCTACAAAAACACTTTGGCGAGCTCCTCGACGAGAATATTATACTGAAGGAGACATTAAAACATAACAACGACTCTATGAAGGAACAGTTCTTGTTGATAGCGTCTTGCCAGGAAGATATGCTGAAGACTCATATGATGCATAAGGAGAAATTCGACGAGACCAGAGAATTGGTTAAGAAGGTGAGGTTTGATTAAAACGTAATAATGAACTAATGAATGAACGAAAGGTTTTGTCCACGTCAGCCGCTGCTGGGGCACAGGACCCCTTTAGGGTTTACGCCTTCGCTCCGTTACAGTCATATTTTTGACTTAGAAAATAAAGCCATTAAATTAGTTCATGCTGCCACAGAGATTCGAACCCTTGATGTTTTAATTGAGAAGCACGCAGCTCCTTTACGTACATTTGAGAATGTTTAGTAGCAACATAACATAATAACTGCCTTCGTTACCGAAAGGATACCATGCTGGTCTGCCATGCAGAGGTCCTGGGTTCGATTCCCGGGCCGGGACAAATATTTGTATAGCCTACATTTCTTCTCTCGTGAGTTTGGGTGGAAGTTGTGTTTGCCTATGTGTGTATCCGTGACACGATACAGGGTTTCCCTATTACGGGGCTATGACTGTGTGCGTATAAAAGAAGACATTGAAGAAGGGTCACAACTCTTGACAGGTCTTGTCGTCACTGACCAACTGAAACGTTGTTTTGTTTGAAAACAACAAATTCTAAATTAAGTAAATAAAGAAACAATTTCTAATAAATAGTTTACTAACAAACATATGTGTCATGTAATGTTACTTGAAACTAATCATTATTGTTATTATGAGCGATGACACACGGGCGTTGCGTCGTCACAACGCAACGAGTGCCACACGGGCAATGCGGTGTCGCAACGTACGTAACGCCGCTTATTTACTCAACGCAGCACCCCTCCTCGCTTCGTCTCCTGACCCCTTATCCTATGCGCACGCGTTCTGTAGTTGTGCGCCCGTTGTAACGCACCGTGTGGCAAACCGTTCTGAATTTTATGTAAACGCAACGCCAACGCCGCACATTGTGTAGCATCGCTCTAATTTGATTGAGAACTGAAACAGGCACACCGCTATACAATAATCATGGCATCATTATTTTATCAATAGCTGTCACTTTCGTACAACTAATAATCCCTCTTTATTATTCCATTTTAGCTCCGTCAAGAAAATAATAAGCTAAAGCAAGACATTACGCGCCTAGTCGATGGCCCAATCCAGAGTCAACCTAGCAGTACTGGGACAGAGAAGTCTGGTCCGTCATCAGCGCTGGAGTTCGTTACATCACCTGATGACGATACTATCAACAAGTTGACAGCGCAGTTGGATTTAGTCGAAAAGCAACGAAGACAGGTAAGGTATTTCAGTTTGGATCAGAGACGGCTCGTGAGTGATTTCAGAGTCTGAACAAAAATGAAAAAAAAATGAAATTCACATTATATTGTTCCATTTTAAACAATGCCACTAAACAACACTACGCTTTTTAACAACGATTGAATAATAACACTTTTTTTAAAACAATAAAATGCGCGCGAATAAAATACTGTTTGTTTATTCGACAAGTTAAGAGCTCTCATGC